TTGCCAGAGCTGTGCAAAAGAATCCTGATGAACCTGAGAATTGGGCCCAGAGGGTTGGAGTGCTGATCTCAGTCACGTTGTGGTAAATCCAGAGGAACGCAGGCAATGATTATTCCACATTTACCGTAGTCTGACCGGGAGCAGAATGTGCCCCAAAGCCTCTAGAACAAACGTGCACACAAAGTTACGTTCCATCAATAGAATCTGTTTGCGCAACCTCAAAAAGTGCACAGTCAGTCCCTGGGCCTGGTGATGTCAGGGGGTCCTGCTCTCCTGCCGGGGGCACTAGAAACATGGAGGAGACTGGCAGCGTTGATTTTATTTTTAAAGCTACGTTTCTAGCCCTTTTCTTTGGTACAACTCTTGGAAATGTAAACCAATCGCTCCAGTTGAAGAGCTGGGCTTCACTCCGCAGCAGGCGGCACAATGAGTCGGTCAGATTTGGAGTGTATCCCAAAGATTCATCTCACTAACCCTTCCCACCATCCTTCAGTCAGCCCTGCACATACCGGTGTGATTCTGCTGCACAGAAATTGGTTCTGGCTGAGTAAGGAGCAGACAAAATAGTTTTGCAAGCCTGCCCAAATATTCTAAAGCCACATTGGCAAGTGGAAACTTTTACACCTTCCACAGTTAGGCCATTCAAATCCTTTAAGGACCTATTTAGCAGCGATCCCCATGAGCTCAGAGAAGACCTAGTTAAAGACATTGAATCCAAATATTGAACTCATAATGAGACTTCTAAGAGCCATTAAACAACATAATTCTTCCCCATTGACTGGGGAGCTTCTGAGCACCTGTTAATGGCACATGAAAGCGCCAGAGGGCTCTGGACTCACACAGAGCTATTCTAGTCTATTCTGTGCAGGGTCTTACTGTACAGCATTAAGCAATGTGACTAACATCTCCCACGTTTTTTCTCTCAACCTCTCTTCAGGGAGAGAAATATGTCCAGTGGAGAGTTTTGGTTTGGAATGTATTGACTTACTTTATGTATATATTGCTATATGTTTATGTTAGAGAAGGCAAGGCCAAAGAAATGTGCCGGCATTTGGAGCAGAAGATGGTGAGGTTTGGGATGGCCATTAGTCCCTGAGGGGAGTTAATTCCACAGACTTTGGCCGGCCGATAAGAATGCTCTGTCTCCTGCACAGACAAGTTTAAACTAGGTGTAGGGAGGGCCCTTGTGCTGGAGAAGCAACCACAGTCTTCATCCCAGAGCTGTCTGCAAACTTTTAGATACCCTGAGCCCAGCCCTCTGAGAACCTGGAAGTTAAGAGCCTGATCTAATTTCCTTTACAGTCAATGGAAAGACTCCCATTAGGCAGGCACTGTGGACTTGTGGATAAGAGTGAGGAGACCTAGTTCTCATCCCAGCTCTGCTACTGCTCTGCTATCTGACCTCTCTATACCTCCCACCCTTTGTCTACCTTGTCTAATTAGATAGTAAGCTCTGGGAGGAGGGGCTGTCTCTCACAATGTGTTTGTACAGCACCTAGCACCATGGGGCCTGGATCGCAGCTGTAGCCTCTAAATACTCATGTAATACAAATAATAGATAATAATTACGTTGGTGGGCTTTGCCTTGGTTCTGCAGGATCTGAGCAACCTCCTAACCCAGACGCCACTAGGAGGCTGAGTGGTGGATAGGTCAGCTATAGCAGGGGCTAATGTACAGAACATGGCTTTCTGGGAGAACCTCAAGAGCTGGGCTGGGGTGGGAAGGGTGGCTCTAAGCAAATTTTACATACACTCGCAGAAAAAAATAAAACCTGCAGCCGCTCCTCACACCCACTCCTCAAAACAGAGAGCTCCCAACACCTGCCCTGCTCACAAACACCAACCCTTGTCAACCCCCTTTCTCCCCACAAACCCAGATAAGCTTCATAGTGCTGCTGAGGGTCAACAGATTTGGGATACTGCAGCTCAATGTGCAGAGTAAATTCCAAAGGGGAGGGCTCCTCCTGGGGAACACCCTGCTCGGAGCTCCCGCAATTAACTTGTGGCTCATCCGGCTGGCCCACCGCCATTAGCGTATCAGTGGCAGTAATGCCCATGGAGAGAGGCAGGCTCTCAAGCAGGAAGGTCCCAAGCTGTTTAGTGCGTTATAGCTCAAACGTAACCCGTAAAGCTGCTCCCAGAGACCCAGAGTCAGTCACACACATCCTACAGTACTGGCCTCAGGAGCTCACAGCGATTTGAAGAAGAGTAGCCATAGTCCAGCAGGCAAACCCAAGAGCTGGGTGCACCCGAGGCACAACACACCAGCCAGCCACAGATGACAAGAAAGCCTGCTTAGTGGAGGAGATGGGGCACTGACTACAATGGTGTGCAGAGAGAGGGGAGGTGAGAAGAGAAAAAGGATTGTAGAGCCCTGACTGATCGCATCTCCCCTGCTGTCTGTAGGCTGGGAAGCTGCACATCAGGAGGTCGGGCGGATAGTGGAGAAGGACAGATAGGGTGCACAGAGGAGCTCTTTGCATAGTGGTGGGCCAGCAGCAAGAAGCAGCTATCCTCATAGGTAGGAGAGCACAGTATGCTGGTACACAGCAGGACTGACCAGCAAAGGGCTAGAAAGGTGAGCGAGGTGGAGGACATAGATACACCTACCCACCCATGTCTCATTTTCCCACCCTGTTTCCCTTCTGTATTTGTGTTGCCAGTCTTTTTTATTTCCTTTTCCATTCAGTGCCATATATATACAGATGTAGCATCAACATCTGAGTCTGTACAAGCCTTACAATGGGGCTGCAAGGTGATGCCACAGATACCCAGGGACCAAAGTGACCGGATAAAAAGACCTAGAGCTGCTCCCTTGACAACTTAGCTGAGGCCCTTTTCCTGCTTGAAACAAAATCTTAAGAACACTGAATTAGGAAAGGCAAAAAAATGCATATGAAGCCAATAGGTATAAGTGCTGCTTCCCCGAGGAACTGCGGGGCAAGGAGAGAAGGAAATGGGAACTTTGAAGTAGACCCTAAAGCTAGAGTTACTCAGTTTCATTGGAATGCATTTAAACTGTGCGTGCTAGGTGCCCTGGGATCTGGAAACTAGATGATTTTCCTCTGAGAAGCAGCATGGTTTTGAGGCCCTGCTCATGGGGTTGGTGACTAGAGGCCTGGGCTCTATTCCTGCCTCTGCCACTGACTTGCTGTGTAACCTTAGACAAGTCACTTCAGGCCTTTGTTTCCCTTCCTGCCCTTTGTCTGTCTTTTCTATTCAGAGTGTGAACTCTTTTAGGCCAGGCACTATCTCTGACCACGTGTACATACAGCATCTAGCACAAGGGGGCTTCAATCTTGGTTGGGGCCTCGAGAGATAATTGATAATAATTAATCCCCGGGGAAGGTGGAGGAGAGGGTTAATTAGCTATTTGGAAAGCACCTTGAAACTATCTTTAGCAGCACCATCATCTTTCTTCCTCTCCTCTTCTTCCCATTCTTTCCCTTCACTCCTCCCACACTTTCCCTTTCCCTTTCCACTGCCTTCCCTCTGTCCC